TGTTGATCGTGGAGGCCACAAACGATGATTTTATAGGACCCTATAACACCATATCGTAGGCATTTTCAATGGCTTTTCCATTTTGCAAAATAAAATAGGAAAAATGAGGCGAAGACAAGACCACGTTATGGGAAGTTGTTATTGGCGCCAGACAAAATATTTTCTTTCGAATCAAACAATAAATCAAGATTTTATGTCAATTCGAGGCAGGGCAATTTATTAGAATATTTGGTTTTATGGAAAGATTTGGAAAAAAAATTATTTTTTCTTTTAGAAAATTTGAAAGTAAAAGCAAAAAACCAAGAATAATTATTTTGCATTATAATAATTATAATAATAATAATAATAATAATAATAATAATAATAATAATAATAATAATAATACAAATAATAATTTTAATAACAATAAAAATTATAATAATAATAATAATATTAATAATATTTATAATAATAAAAATAAATTAAAAATTATTTGAGACAACGTATTTTAAAACAATATTCGTTTATGTGAAAAATCTGTCACCTTTTTCTGGATTAGAAAAGTAAATTTTACATTCTTTAAACACAAAAGAAAATTAGATTAAAATTAATTTTTGCTATACAAAAAAAAATTCAATTTATTTATTTAATATATGGGGGCGTATAACTGCTGGCAACACGTATACGTATACATTGGTAAAGATGAAATATCAAGAAACTAATTAGTTTTGCACTGAAACCACTTCAGTTATTGAAATGCCGTCAAAGATGAAAATGTAGACAAGGAAGAGATCCTGTAGCTTGGGAAAATCCTAGCTTTCTAGGATCATTGTATCTGAAGATATTGAAACTTAAGCCTTATTAAACATTTTAAGGGAAATTAAGGATATAAAACTTTCTTGAAGGGCTGTCAGCACTCCAAAAATGGCATTTTAAAGAACATTCCTTCGAAGAACTAGGAGATGAATGCCATTATATCTAATATATAATAAAAAATATCCATATATGAATTTTCGTATGGGGGCGTATAACTGCTGACAGCACGTATACGTCACATTGGTCAATATGAAATATAAAGAAACAAAATAGTTTAGCAGAAAACCCAGTTCAGTTATTGGAATACCGTCAAAGATGAAAATGTAGACAAGGAATATATCCTGTAGCCTCGGGAAATCTTAGCTCTCTAGGATCATTGTGTCTGAAGATATTGACACATAAACGTGATAAAACGTTTTTAGGAAAATAAAAGATATAGAAATTTCTTGAATAAATATCAGCACTCCAAAAATGGAATTTTAAAGAGCACTTTTCCGAAAAGTTAGGAGACTTATAATTTTTTTCTAATATATGATGAAAAAAATATCTATTTATTGAATTTTCATAAGGGGGCGTATAATTGATGACAACACATATACGTCACATTGGTCAACATGAAATATGAAGAAACAAATTAATTTTGCACAAAAACTACAACACTTTTTGAAATGCCGTCAAAGAAAAAAATATAGCTCACGAATAGATCCTGCAGCCTCGGTTGATCTTACTACGCTGGGATCATTGTATCTGAAGATACAGACACCTAAGTCGTAAGAGAAAAAATGTTGGCAACAAAAATATCCTTCAGCCTTAAGATATCTGGTTAATTTAAAAACAATGTCTTAGAAGTTATTTGCAACTAAACCTGAAGGACTATCAGCACTCCAAAATTGGATGGTGATAATTTATTTCAGAGGAACGACAAGCTGCCCCAAATTGGAAACGACAAGCTGCCCAAGAGAAAAAATGTTGGCAACAAAAATATACTTCAGCCTTAAGATATCTGGTTAATTTAAAATCAATGTCTTAGAAGTTATTTGCAACTAAACCTGAAGGACTACCAGCGCTCCAAAAGTAGCTGGTGATAATTTATTTCAGAGGAATCAGCAATTTTTTTGGACGATCAGGACGACAAGCTGCCCCAAATTGTTTTTTTTTTAAGAATATTTTTGGCACTCAAAATGTGGACTTTTAAAAAATCCTTTTTTATGAATACCATTAGAACTTAAAACGTGGATCCATTTTGAAGGGCATGTAAAACGAAAGCTAAGCACCCAAAATTTCGGTTTTTCTTTAAATATTATTTTTTAAGGATGGTTAACACTTCAAGACCCAAATTTTTAAGAATTTTTTTCCGCACCATAAATTTCCGATTTTAGAGGAATAATATAAAAAAACTGGATTTTTAAAAATATTTCTTTAAACCCAAGAAACAATAATTAAGCAATATTAAGGAATATTTGTCTAAGGATAAATATACCAATAATCTAAGTGATTTTTTAAGGACGAGCAGATAATAAATAGCGGATTTTTGACAAACTACAAGACCAATTTTTGTTAACCTTTTTAAGTTTTTTTTTTAAGGACTACAAGATCTATAAACCGTCGGTCAATATTCTTTAAGTCTTTTAAAGGATCATCCGTTCAAAAATAACGAGCAATATTCTTGGATTTGGAATTTATAAGGACTACAAGGTCGATAATCAAGGATTTTTTTCAAGGACGAAACGATTAATATTTTTTAAATCTATCCTGAGAGCTTGACCCAAAAATCTAGTGTTGAAATGAAGACTACCAGCAAACAATTTTTTTTTTTTTTCATAAACTCTAAATACATTAAATAATATTTCCATACATTTCATAGATAGCTGAATCAAGCCAAAGAAAGGAATATAGAGCACCCCTTATAGAGCAATTTTGCCAATGAACCCTGTGCTCTCCCAACACTCATTGCCCCTAAAAACTATGTGGCAAGATTGACTAATTATCTAAGTATTTCCTAAAAATACACATTTTAAGAGAGATAAAATTTACTCTGAGAGTGCTTTTCCGCTGAGAGTGAGATAGTTGGACCATGAGAGAAAAAGTTTGCTAAAAGGATAGTCTTCAAACCTTTCTCATGTACGAAAGTTCTATTTCAAAGCCTTGACCCATAAATCTAGAGTTGAGTGAAAGGTTTTTTTTTTTTTTTTTTTTTTTTTTTTTTTTTTTAATGCCTACATTGTTTATAAACCACAGACCAAATTTGTTTAGAATTTTTGTAGGACCATCCGTTCGAAAGTACAGATCAATATTCCTGGTTTTTAAAAAATAGGTGTGGATTTTTGAAAAATATGTTAAAGGGCCACAAGACCAATAATTGTGGATTTTTAATTTTTTTCTAGGACCAAACTATCAATATTTTTTTAAGAATTTTAAAGAATTTTAAATTTATTTTTTTAAGAATTGAAAGTATGAGCCAATATTTGTGGATTTTAAATAATAATTGCGATTTTTTTTAAATATTTTTTAAGAATATATTTAAGGGCTGGCAGAGCGATGCTAATGGATTTTGTTCAAGTTTTTAAGATTTTATTTATATTTTTTACTATTTTTTTATTTGATTTTAATGTTATTTATTTATTAATTAATATTATTTTTTATTTTCTATTTATTTATTTTTTTTTATTTTTTTATTTTTTTTTTTTTTTTTTTTTTGAAATACTATCTGATTTAATATAATAATTGTGGAGTTTAAGAATATTTCTATAGACCACTAGACCTTTTATCATGAATTGTTAAGGCTACTGGCCGTATAATTGATATTAATTCATTGATGCGTATGATTAATGCAACTGCATTTATATTAATCATACTCCAAAAATTCTCATAAAATGTACATTTTGTACATAAAACTGTTTATATAAAATAAATTGTCATAGGTCACTGTGGATTGTATCTAACGAAATGATATACCTTGCAATAGTTTATTTATTTTTTCTTTCTTTCTCTTAATTTTTTTTATTTATTTCCACTCACATGGCTTTTCTGGCCATGTCCGTCTCGAATAACACAAGTTGTTGTGTTTTCTTTCAAAATATACAACAAGAACAGCAAAAAGGCCAAGACATTTAAGACCTTAACACATAAAATCAATCAATTGATCAATGTCCCAGCGTCTCTATTGCACATCCATGTATATGTATGGATGGTTGTATGCACGTACATATGTATGTACACCCACAGCGAAAAACGGAAAACAAATGTATATTTCTTGTGCTCACATTGCCTTTGAAAATAAATCATAAAATTTATTATGCAATGTTTACAGCGAACACAAAAAAAAAATTGTTTCAAATCTAAATCTACGACTTCTGACGCTTTGTCTGGCCTCTGGCTGAAGAATATGTTTCATAACTCAAAAAAAAGTACATATTTTGTATTCAATCAATGTTTTTTTTTTCGATTTTCCAATGCTTTATGAGTTTTGGAAACAAGAAAATGAAAACAAATACTCGATGAGAGGAGTTTATTTTTAAATTCAAAAATTCTTCTTTTGAATTTATTTTTAGTTTGGCAACAACCACCTCCCCACACCTCTATTTTTTTACTGCCCCCATATCTCTCTATCTGCTAATATTTATGACTTTCTTTGTGTATATTTTGTTGCTTTCTTTTCTTTTCCTAGTTATTGCTGTAGGTTTATACTAAAAATTTATAAATATATTATTTTTATGGTTGCCATTTGTGTTCCATAAACGTAATTTGAAAAATTCTTTGCATACAATTGTTGTGTTAATGTGTTTTTTTTTTTTCTAACTTTTCTTAGGAAGTGTCCAAGTATTAGAAAATTTAATTATTTTGGCAAAGAGCAAAAATATCAAATTAGTCATTTGCTAACATTGTTAGACGTCATAGAAGAAGAAGAAGAAAAAATGAGATAGATAATTTTGAGAATTTTGAAAATAAATTGTATTCACATGATAGGATCTTAAAAAGATATAAACAAACAAAACGGTGTCCCCTAGGGCGAATAATTAATTTTAATTCTATTAAAGGAGGGCGTATGAGTGTTGTCATTGAATAATAATAAACATACTCAAAGTTCTCTTAATGATTCACTCTCTTAATAACATACTCAAATTTCTCTCAATAACTTACTCTCTCAAAAATATATACTATTAAATTTTTAACTAATTATTTTCAAATATTCCCTTTAATTCCAGGTCCCCGAAAAAGAAGGTGCCGCCCTTGCCGCTGCCAGCTCAATTGGTTTCTGCGAGGTTTCGGTTGCCGAATACACCCCCACCCTATACAAAGCATTCGAAAAACTCATCATTGACTCCCGTGCCCGTCCCCAGAAACAAAATCGCAAATTCTCTGTGAGTAAAATGTTGGGTACCCTGATAGGCAACAACAGCTATAGCCAGAAATCACTGGGTCCCATCAATCATCAGGGTACCGTGGTGCCCTGTCACAAGGGAGAGCTACACAAATCGCGGGTCTTGAAAAGGCGCCAGGGTTTTACAGCCACAACCAGTCTGTGACCAGCACGTGAAGACAGTTGGTAAATCAAATCAAAAAAACATGGAACCTGAATAGCACCCGCATAACATAAGCTCAAGTCAAGTAAAAAAAAGAAAAGAAAAATCAAATAAATTTAAGTCTAAGCATAAGAGATGATACTACAAGGAACTAACAGGACAAATGATAACCAAAAAAGAAATGAGAGATTTTTATATATTTAATATTTAATAAAAAAAACCATAATTGATTTTCTAATTATGGTAGCCAAAGAATTAGGGCCCAAAGAATGTAAGGGAAAAAACTATAAATCTAGGAGAGAATAAACCCTAGATCATTACTATTAGAAACTAAGAATTAGTTTTATAAAAACAAGAGAAAGAAGCAAATTTTGAAATTTTTTGTAGATAAGACAAATTAGTTAGGCTTTGAAATGGGTACAGAAAAATAATTTAAAAAATTAGTTAATTTAAAATAAAATTAAGGATCAAATCAATACCTTATTCCAGATAAAAAAAATGTGAAAATATGCCAAGCCAAGGGGTAAGAAAATCAGAGGGGGGGAAATTTTTCAAATTAATCGCGAAATTTACTCAACAAAAAAAATTTTAAAGTTTCAATGTAAGACACTTTTGAGCTACAAAAATTGCCTATAGATCACACATGTCTGAGCAAGAATTATGAGGAACCCTCTAGGGAACATTTTTGCCAAAGATAATTCTGTTCCCCCACCACCCCTTGTCCCTGAAAATCCAGGGCCAAAATTCTTTAACAATTTAAGAATTTTATACAAATGAAAATTTTAGAGGGAGAAATAAGGTTTCTCTGAGAGTGTCTTTCCGCTGAGAGTGAGAGAGTTGGTTCTCGAGAGAAAAAGTTTGCTTAAAGGATGCTCTATAAATCCTTCTCATATTACAAAGTTCTATTTCGAAGGCTTGACCCAAAAATTTAGAGTTGAGTTCATGACTATGAACAAATAAAAATATTCAGAAACTCTAATTATCGTAAAGAAAACTTCAAAAAATATCTTAAATAACAAAACCACGCCAAAGGAGAAAATATAGAGGACCCTTTATAGAACATTTTTGCCAAAGAAACTTCTGCTTCTCCACCACTCCTTATAACGGAAAATTACGAAAAAACTCGAAGCATTTTACAAAAATACACATTTTAAGAGAGAAAAAAGTTTACTCTGAGAGTATTTTTCCACTGGGAGTAAGTGAGTTGATGCCGGAGAGAAAAAGTTTGCTCAAAGGATACTCTTCAAACTTTTCTCGTACACCAAAGTTCTATCTCGAAGGCTTGACCTAAAAAATTAGAATTGAATTCACTCTCCCAGTGCTTGACACTCACTAATACACTCAATAGAATTCCGTCTGTTTCGAAATATATTTTGATGTATAAATATCATATATAGTCGATTTATCTCGGAGAAAGAAATATAGGGGACCCTTTAATTAACATTTTTGCCAAGGAAACCTCCGCTCCCCAACCACTCCTTATCACTCAAAATTATGTGCCAAAATTGATAACATTTCTAAGTATATTCTTGAAATTAGCTTTATTAAGAGAGGAACGGTTTGTTCTGAGAGTACCTCTCCACTGAGAGTGATAGTGTTGCACGGTGAGAAAAAAAGTTTGCTCAAAAGATACTCTACAAATTGTTCTCAGAAAGTGAACCTCTATGGTACAATCTAGTTCCTAAAAATAGAGATTTGAGTAAACTACTTTCATAAAATGGAGCTAAAAATGTAATTTTCAAATATTTTGAAAAATTATTTTGAGTTATAAGTTTTATAAATAGACGCCTCATGTCTGAGAAGAAAATATAGGGAACCTTTTTAAGAATATTTTTGTCAAAAAAAAACCTCCTCCCCCTTTCCTCTTTACCCCTGAAAATAATGGACACAATTTTTATGTGTCTCAAAACTTGTATCTCTCTTTTTCATGGGAAAATTTTTGAACTCCAGTGAGAGTGAGAGAGTTGGGCCCAAAGAGAAAAATGTTTATCAAAGTATACTCTTCAAATCTTTCTCATATGTGAAGCTTCTATCTCAAATTTGAGAATCTAAAAAATTTGTCGCAAGTTAACCAACTCCATGAAATGTAGCCAAGAAATTTCGATATAATTTTCCATATTTTGAAAATAAATTTTGAGATTGAAATCGAAATTCTCGGTCATCTTTGTCTGAGAAGAAAATAAGGAGGAGACTTTTATGAATATTTTTGCCATAGAAACCCCTGCTCTAACTACTCTCTTTGTCACGAATATTATGTCTCACAAAAATAAAACATTTCAAGACTAGTGAGGGTTTCAATGCATTGTGGACTTCGATATTATTTTTGATAATTTCAATTCCACCTGAGAAGCTTAAATTTTTTGAGAATTTTTCTCATTTTTTAAACCCCCTCCTCTTACCCATAGTTTTATATCTCTCTTTGAATAAGTATTTTCACAACTTAACCCCCTAGATCGCAGGTCGATATCATACGGGAAAATTTCAATTCTGGAAATTGATTTTTTTCTCTAATTTTATTTTAATTAAAAATTTCATTTAAATTATTTTTCTGTACCCACCACCTCTAAGGCATGCAAAACAAAAATATACCAACAAAAAATTGGAAATTTTTAGAAAATATTTTTGTAAAATGGGAATATTGAAACAGACATAAGTACTTGGTACAGACATAAGAAAAAAAAAAAACATTTTTGTAATAATTAGAAAAAACAAACAAACTTTTGTAAACTATTGTTAAGTAACATAAGATGTACTCAAAAAAGAAAAAGGAAAAATAATTAAGATATTTTTTGTAAGCAGAATTATGGCAAAAAGGAAATAAGATTGGCAAGTAATGTTTTTGTTTTTCTAAGTTTTTATTAGAAAATCAATGGAGTTATTGATAAAACAAAACTAACTCAAATCAAATAATTGTCTCCTAAATGGAATTTTGAATGGATCAAAAAACGCCTACAGCAATAGTTTCAAATTTCATTGTTTAAATGTCACAAGTCTAAATGTTAAAATACAAATAACCCAATTAAAGAAAAAAAGTAAAACAAAAACATTCCTTTCTAAAACCAAAAACCAAACTAAATAAGTAATCTGAAAATGTAATTAATGTTTAAATAGACCCCCTACCCCTCCCACCAAAAAAAAATACCAAACAGAAACCTTTTTTGAAAACACAGTCAAAGACCAGATGTTATCCGATCGGAACAGTTACTTCTTCTTCAACAAAGCAGACCAGTTCAAAATTTCATTTGGAAACAAGATTTTGAAATTATTTACACAAAGAATTTAAAAGAAATTTAAAGAAAAATTAAAAACAAACTGAAATTATTTGGATTTTTTGTTTTAATTAAAAAAACAAATAAAAAATGAGAAGAAAAAAAAAACAAAAAATCCAAATTGCAAAGAACTGTGATATAAAAAGGTTTTAATTTAATTAAAATTGGTAAAAATGAAAAAAAAAATGTAAAAAAATCCCAAAACAACTAAGTTTTGAACAAAAAAAATTGTAAAACAAAATAAATATAAAATAGCTGTAAGAATAATATTAACCAAAAATTATTCTTCCCCCAAGCTATGTAGAAAAAAATTAAAAACCCTTAGCCTCCCTCATCAAACTGAAACAAAAACAGCTAAAACGACTAACATAAAAACTAAGAAAAAATTGTAATAATTGTTTAATTATAATTATTATTAATTTATTTTTTTTTTTTTTTTTGTTTATTTTCTTTTAATTTTCTTCATTTATATTTTTATTTTTGTTAATTCATAAAAATATAAATGCCATCCTTTTCGAACCAAAGAAACGAATTTAATTTTCATTTTACGTATTCACTTCTCACCGATTTTAGAATACTTAAAATTTGAGAATTCCCACCAAAAATAATGCAGTTGGAACTCAGCACAATTTTTTTCTAAAGACAATAAAAAAGAAAATTAAATTCATTTTGCATTTATATTTTCAAATTTAATTCTTTTTTTTTTTGTGATTTTATTCAATTTTTTAATTTGTTTTTTTTAATTAAAATTTAATTTGTATTATTAATTAATAATTATTTCGCACAAAACAACTTTGTATCCACTGTATTATATAAAAAACCCAACAACCCTTTGAAAAACAATAATAAGAAATAAATATTGAATAAATTTTCGTAAGGAAATTTAATTTAAATAAATGTTAAACAATGTCTTTTGATTTAGTGGGAAAATGGGGGGAAATGGGTGAGTCCAAGGGGGTGAGTCCCAATGAACAACAAATTCTATTCAGATTTCAAAATAATGGTGAGGGTACCTGAAACTGAAAAAGGGGTACTAATTTTGGAGGAGAGATATTTGCCTTACTCAAAAAGGGTGGAATGGATAAAAATTTGTTTTAGGATCATCGAAATAATGGGGGGATGTAGAAAATTATCAGCTATATTTTCAATGAGCAAAAAATAGGACAGAAGGAACCTTTTCGTATGTAACACGAACCCCTGGGCCCACCAGCGTGCGTTCCTGTTTTAAGCCGCTTTACAAATTTTGACGAAGCCGTTTCATAATATTAGGAATATCTTTTGTTATTTGTGTTAAGTGTCTATGTAAAGAACTATAGAAAATGGAACTGTAAAGACTACAACTTTAATATTTTGCGTCTGAGGATTGGAATACATCAGGATTTTGGAATTTTATACTGCAGGGATACGAAAAGTGCCAAAAGATACAGGTAGTTATGGCATATTTACTGAGCGATCGGTAAGAGGTTCAGGTTTTTCATTTTGATACGACGGGATATTTGGGATTTTTTTCTTCTAAGCAAGAAGGATGAAGAGTACTCAAAGGTTCATACAGTATTGTAGGAAATTTGTTTTTAAAATTTATTGAAAGATCAGTTTCAAGAGAGGTATTCCTAGATTTTAATATTAACATATGAAGTTACTTTGCGGGTGTAAGTTGAGATATGCGAACGAGTTTTAGCGACTGACCAATAAATGGTGCTAAATCGGACTAAGCAAACAGGTAAGTATACAAATTATAGAGCCTATATTTTTCCTAGAGCCTATAATTTGAGAACCACTGTTTGGATGTCGTATTGAGATTATGAGGAGACTGAGGCCAAATGAACGGACTCAAGGAGTACTAGGCAAAAGGAAGTCTGAAATTATTTTTGCCTGTAAGATCGATACATTCGGAAAGTACTTCTCGACCGCAACCCCGCTTCATTTTTCAATAGTATATTCTGGGTTTTAAACGGGGAGTAAAGGGTTTGAACAATTTTCAAGGTATGTTTTCTAATTCCTAAACAAAACACCTCGAAATATTGGTCCCCGACATAGGAAACTAGATATGGATCTTCATAACTCTTCGAGCGGAGTCGATCAAGCTATGTATGTCCGTCCGTCCGTATATTGTTTTTAGAAATGATCGCAAAATATTCAGGGGTTGAAATGGACCAAAAACAGAAATATTTTGTGATTTTGCAGCTGCTCTACAGGTTGCATTTATGGACAGAAGCCTAACATTTTTTTTCGTCATCGGTCAATGAATGCGGGTAAAATAGACAATACATTTCATGTAAAAAAAATATACGAAAATATTGAATAAATCGCGAATATTTTTAATCCCGGCAAAGATATCGGGTATATATCAAAATAAGTAAAGTCTATATGTACAAGAAATTGATGTTAGTTATTCCGCTTATAAGTGAAGAACCGCTGGACTGATTTTGACAAATCCCACCACTTCGGAATGGCCTCTTGCCAGAAAAGGATGAAATCTAAGAAAATCGCCCAAAACTATGCTATAAAAAAGTGAATAATTTTTTGTCCAATTTTTCATTCATGCGATTTTTTCATATTTCACTTACAATTTTGATTTGTACATTTTGTAATATATTTCAACCCTACAACACTATATGTTGAGGTATTATATTCAGTTCGCATGGAATATACATTTGGGGGTTTAAACGGAATTACAATTTTCTGATTTTGTAGTCGCTCTGCAGGTCATAATTGAATACAGAATTTAGCATGAGGAGAGAGTTAAGGACAGTCTAGCATTTTTGATTTTTTTTTTGTGAAATTATTTTGAATGCCTATCGGCACGACAAAGAGGGATAAATAAAGGGCAAATACCCTGGTAAAATACCCAAGGTAACATTTGTACAGGACTGTATGGCATAATTAAAAAAATCAACTAAAATGGGTTTGGAACTAAGGATGGTTATTGTAGGGTAGGACATGATCGGCTCCACAGGACTATAGCCTTTGCTTATTATTTTTTTTTTTTATTTAAAAATAAAGTACGATTTCGAAGGCATTTCAATAATTGTCGCAAGTCATCGTCATGACAAAATATATTAAAGGCAAAACCTTGCAAAAATAATATAGTTCTCGTTTCTGTTTACATTTAATACTCGACTCGACGGGACTTGTGCTTTCCGGTTCTGGATTTATATAAAAAGATATTCGCTTTAAAAATTTCCACTTACCTTACATTTTATATATGTACTCTTTCCGACTTATGGAGTATAGATCGCATCCCGATTTCTTCTCCAATGAAATTATAACAGACGAAGGTATATTCCGACAATTCGCATTTATTCCATTGGCATAAATGTGGAAGTTTTGGGTGTATCTGTAAAAGGAAGGAAATTGTTTCAATCTTAATTTTTGATTTTTTAATTATCAATAGAATAGAATAGTATTTTTAGTCAAATAGTCAAAGTATTTCTTTTCCTGACCTGGGACTGGATTCTTGTTCTATGAAAATTTGAAATGAAATATATTTTCCTTATATTTTTTTTTTCATTTGACATTTTTCCTTTCACATTTACATGAAACAAAAATTGGGCCCCTGATGCGATACATTTTGCTCAGCAATCGATTGGATTTTCGAATAAAAATTATTATTTTCGATTTTTTCTTCAATAACTCCTTTTTTATACCCTCCACCATACTATAGAGGGTATATTAACGTTGTCATTCTGTTTGTAACTCCTCGAAATACTCATGTCATTTTGCGATGACCCTCTGTCTGTCTGTCCGTCTGTATTGAAATAGAAGGCTTAAATTTTGCACACATGTTTATTTTCCAGTAGGCAGGTTAAGTTCGTAAATGGGCCATGTAGGTCTACGTATTCATATAGCCGCCATATAACGGTATCTCCCGATATTCGCTATTTTCATGATTTTAGCGACATTATTAACCGGAATTGTTTCAAATTTGGTATTTGAAGTTCGAAATGGATACTACAGCCTAAGACAGAAAATTGTCTGTGCAGGTCCACGTCTTCGTATAGCCGCCATTAACGGTACTTGTATATATTCCGTATTTTGATGATTTTAGCGTCATTATTCACCGGAATTGTTTCAAATTACGTACTTAAGAGTTCGTAATGGGAACTACAGTCTGTAACAGAAAATTGTATATGCAGGTCCAGGTCGTCGTATAGGCCCCATATATCAGTACCTCCCTATATTCGGTATTTTGACGAGTTTAGAACCAATACCCACCGAAATTGTTTGAGATGTCGTATTTGAAGTTCGTAATGGATGCTACAGCCTATGATAGAAAATTGTCTATGCTGGTCCAGGTCTTCGCACAGCTCCGATATAATGGTACTTCCATACATACGATATTTTGATGATTTTAGCTACATTATTCACCTTTTTTTTCAAGTTTCGAATTTGAATATGGCAATGATTTATGACAAACAATGCCTATGTAGGTCCACGTCGTATATACACCAATATAACGGCTATATTCGGTATTTTTAAAATTTTAACAGAATTTTTTAAGGATTTTATTTCCAAATTCGTTCCATATAGTGGAGGGTATACAAAGTTCGGCCCGGCCGAACTTACTGCTTTTTAACTTGTTCCATATTGAATGTATTCCTTACATAGCTTAATTAATCACGTTCCATACCCAACCCCTCTCAACATTGGAAAAACGATCCTTAATTTATTTCAGTTTTGATTGCATCACCTAACGAAACTCCTCAACAAGACGTTATGTCCTTGTGTAACCACATGTATTGTCGTGTGA